CAGGATCGTCTCGCCGAAAAGGAGAGTACATGCCAGGATCTACAAAAGCGACTTGACCGCGGACAGGAGCACGTCTCACGTCTAGAGCAAAAGATCACCGGTTACGAGAAAGATGCGGCTGAACAATTGCGGAAGATTGAGATTGGCGGAAGTGTCATCTCTACGCTGCGTGAGCAACTACAAGAGTCGCATTCGTCAAGCAAGAATACTGGAGACGCCCTGACAGCTTTGGAAGAGGAGCTGGAGCAGCTCAAGACCAAGCTAGAGGTTGCGAGCGATGCGAGCCGAGTGCTGTCTACAGAGCTTGAGACTACCCGGACCGAGAAAGCCAACACCCAGAAGGAGTTGCACACTGCCCAAGAGAGTCTCGAACGGGAGGTCGAATCGAAGACCCACCTTCAAGCGGAGCTGGAAACTCTACGCAGCTCTTACGACGCCATCGAGGAGAACCTACAACAAGCTCAACAGCGCAACCAATCTTTGGAGACGGTCGATGCCAACAGTCAGGCCCAGCTAGAGAAACTTCGTGACGAGAAGGCCGCACTGGAAGCCGATCTCAAAGACTCCCGACAGCTGTTGTTCAGACTACGTGAGGATGTACGCATGAGAGATGCCGAGCTTTCCGACCTGCAGTCTGTCAAGTCGAAACTTGAAAAGAAGCATCAGGTCTCAGAAGGGCGCGTGTCGAACCTGGAGCAGGAGCTGCAACAAGTACAAGAGTCGAAGCAAACTGCCGATGAGCAGCATGCGCAAGAGGTCCAGAAGAACGCCGAGCACCTTCGCGAACTGGAGGCATCCATGGTCAGCCTCCGAACTGTGCTTGACTCATCAGAGAAGCTGGAGGCGTCGTTACGTCAAGAGCTGGATCGCGCGCAGACATCCAAGGATGCTGTCGAGAACGAGCTCGGACAGGCACTTCAATCGAAGGCAGACCTTGAGAGTCAGGTCGATCATATCCAGTCGAGACTCACATGGACAGAAGGCGACCGCAACAACTTGCAGACCAAGATCACCAAGCTTGAGAGTGACCTTGGTTCTAGCTCTCAGGCCAAGATTGACCTCGATGCGCGACTCTCCGCTACGACAAACGAGAGTGGCTCGCTCAAGGTTCGTATCTCGGAACTGGAGGCTGCGCTTAAAACCAACACCGAGGCAAGAACAAACGCCGAAAGAGCATTGTCGATTGCACAGCTGGATGGCGAGACGTCTACCAAAGACTTGGCGGACCTTCGTGAGAAGCTTGAGCAAGTTGAAGCTGCTAGGAATAGTGTGCAACAGGAGCTGAGCGACGCGACTCGCTCGAACACAGATCTCGAGACCCAGCTTAATGCAGCGAAGGGTCGCTTGACTAAGGCGGAAGAAGCGTTATCAGCAGCACAGCTCGACGGCGAAGCCTCTAGCGAGGGCCTCGTGGATGTTCGTGGGCAACTCGAAGAGGTGGAAGCAGCTAGAAAGGGGTTGCAACAGGAGCTCAACGTTGTGATCGGCTCCAACAAGGACCTAGAGACTCAGCTCAGCGCAGCGAAGGATCGCTTGATCAAGGCAGATTCTGAGGCTCAGGACGTACGCACGCAACTCTCCGAATTGCAAGATGAGATCGCGGAACTCCATCGATCGAAACAGCAACTCGAGGAACACCTGCTGGCCCACAATGCCTCCCACGAAAAGCTCGATGAGGATCTGCTGCTTACTCGATCTCAATTGAAGGAGGTGCAATCCCAGATCCCGCATCTTGAGGCGCGACTAGCTTCCAGCGAAGAGGAGCTCGAAGCTATGTGCCGAGCTAAAGCCGTCACTGAGAAGCGGCTCGAAGAGACGCAGGTTGCCAACGCTAGCTTGGAGAAGGAGCTTGATATTGCGCGAAAGGATAACGAGGAGATCAAGAGTCGACTTGATAGCACCACCACCACCAACGCGCAATCGGAGAAGGATCTTACTACGACTCGTTCCAGGATGGAAGAGTCGGACGCACAAAATACCGAACTAACGTCCAAGTTAGCCGATGTAGAGAAGGAGCTCGACGGCCTCCGACAATTGAAGGATGATGTCGAAAAGAAGTTGGATGAAGCGTTGGCTATCTCAGCAAGCACGGAAGAAAGTCTCTCTTCGACTCGGACTCGGCTGAACGAGGTTGAATCGCAGAACGCCTCCATCTCTGCGGAGCTTACCAGAACGAACGAAGAGTTGAATGCTCTTCAACACACAAAGACCGAGCTGGAGAGCAAGGCAGGTAGCGCTGAACAGCAAGTCGGTTCTCTTCAGGACGAGACAACGAATTTGCGCTCACGCATAGCCGAACTGGAATCAGACAGCACTGACTTGGTCTCTAAGCTGTGGACTAGCAGCAAAGAGCTGGATGAACTCAGATCAGTTCACACAAAGCATGAGGAGTCTTCTCGATCCGCGTCAGATCGCAATGGTGCGCTTGAGGCCGAACTTCGTGCTGCTCAGATGCGGCTGGACATTGCTGAGTCGGAAAGCCTGGAAATGCTCAACGACCTCATTACGGCCAACGAAGAACTCGGATCTATTCGCGAGTCGAATGCCACGCTTGGCGCTTCTGAGAAAGAACTATTCGCCCGCATTACTGCAGCAGAGGAAGAGCTCGAGACCACACGTGAGAAGAACGCAAAGCTGGAAGCCTTCCTTGAGCGTGTGGAAGCGGACATGGCCGATGCTCACTCCGCCGTTGAGGATACCGAGAGGCGCTACCACGAATTCGTAGAAGAGTCGCAAGCTAAGCTAGAGGCCGCCAAGGAATCCAAGCAAAGGTACAAGCGCAGGCTTTCGGAAAGAAACAACGAGCTTGAGATCCTCATCAACGAGAACTCGGACCTGCATCACCAGATCGGCGACCAGACGCGAGAGCTAGGTGCGCTTAAGAAAGACAAAGGCAAGCTGGTCGAAGAGCTATCAAAGAAGGAAAAGTACATTGAAGAGCTTGGATCTTCGACTGATAGCAGGATTAGATCAATGAACTCCGCATATGACGGTCTCAAGCGGAAGTTTGAAGAGCAGCAGCAACAGCACCGAGAGCTAGACGGCAATCACGACAACGCTGTTCGTCTAGAGGCCGAACTGGAGAGGAAGATGACTGAGATTGAAGAGATGCGACATCATCAAGATGAATATGCTGCATCATTTACTGCGCTCGAGCAGGAAGTGAAGGCTTTGCGAGACGACAAGCGAGCTTTCGAGACCTTGATCGCGACATTGCAAGATAAGATTAGACATCTGGAAGCTCTCGAGGAGTGGAACGAGCCGAACGAAACTAAGGAATCGAGCGAACTCAATCGCACCTCGTCACCCCGTCACATCACTATTCAGGACGGTCCTTACGACACCGCCCCCTCGAGCCCCATCTCATCTCACACAAGGAGCTCGATCGGGCATATGAGTGTGCAATATGAGAGACCACAGACTAGCGCAAGCACCGTCTCTCACGAGGGTGACCCCGAATCCTGGGGCCTGCGGATAGAAAAGATACGCATGCAACGCGACGACGCAGCTGTCCAACTCAAGGGCATGAAGAAATCGCGCCACAACCTCAAGAAGACTTTACGGGACACAGATGCGCAACTCCATCGTTTGGAGAAAGAGACCAAAACGTAAGCATACCCTACCATCACCAGGCGATAAAGACCAATAGCTAACGACTCCCCAGTAAACGTCCCCAAAACCTCCTCCGCAAGAAATCCCGTCCCATGACACCCAACCCCCTCACCGCTTCACCCGACCCATCCCGCAACACACCCTCCCCGCGCATCGGCAGCGCACCCCAAACACCCGACCGCCCTAAGACCTCCCACGCAATCTCCTCCTTCTCGCCTCGCTCCACCGTCAACGCCAACTCGCGACATAGCACTTACATCGCTCCCACTGCTCCCATGACTCCAGAGAACAACAAGACTGCGCCTTCGACGCCTGAACGACCAAAGACGAGTCATAGCATCAGGCATAGATTGAGTTATAGACCGACGACTAGTGCTGGGGTGGGTGTCGACGGGGAGGGGCATGGACATGGACACAAGGGACATGGACATGTGAGGAAGTGGAGTGCAGGGCTGAGGAGTCTGTTTCACAAGGACGCGTAAGAGCTGTTTTTGTTTTCCTCGTCTTCGCGTTTTCGCTTTCTGGATTTGTGTATTACTTTTTGTCCGTTTCGTTCCTTGTCCTCGACCCTGATACTGTTTGTTACACTTCGTTCTTGTACATCTTCTTTCCGCATGCTGTTGTTTCTTCTTTTCTCGTTGATATTGTTTTTTTCCTTGTTGTGTACACATTTTTTGCTCGCGCTACTTAATGCATTCGCACACGGTTGTGATTATATATATTCAAGATACCAAATGATAGGGCTCATGGTGGGAGGTATTGGGATCTTTTCTGGTTATACAGGCGACCTCTGGGTTTTGATGCCGAGCAGCTACGTTTCTGCATGACTGCCTGGGTATATATTTGGCATCTGGTTAGACATATAAATATTACTGTTCTGTCTTGACCGCCGAGTCTTTTCCCTTGCTTCTAATTTGGAACTTGCAGGATCGGAGTGATGCGTAGTATACATGATTCGGAGATTAGACAGACATACTTGCATGCTTTAGAACTCAATGGATGTTGCGACCTGAACGTAGAAGGATATCATTACAAAAGCCATACCAGCCGTCTAAAACTCCGTTTCGTAAATGCTGCGCCAACCCAATGCAAGACTATCTACCCATCCACATCTCTATCAACAACACCCCTTCTCCCCACTACCACCACTACCGCCCATCCCCCAAACCTCCAAATCATGCACACTCGGCAGTCCACCCCCCTCACACTCACTCAACGCACTCTGCCACCTCCCCAAATCCACATTCCCACCCACCACAACCCCCGCAACCTGTTCCACCTTCCTCGCCAACACCTGCCACGCCCTCCCATGCCCCCTCTCGCCTATACAAGCCGCCCACATAGGACAACTCCGACACGTATACGCCTTCAGAAACGCATGAATCATTTCATGCAGGAGCGTACCCAGTCTGGATTTCATCCTCGCCTGCTGCGTCTGTGTCGGTGTATCCAACGGCCTGTATCCACGATACAGCATAGGGTGGAGGAGAACCTGCGTTCCCACAACAGGGTTGTAGAAACTCTTTCCGAAACAATCGCGCTGGCGCGAGTCTAGGTAGCTGAATCCGGCGCTTAGCACGTCGTTGTGCGTGGGGACGTTTCCGGCGAAGAATACGCGGTTTAGGTGTGCGAAGAGCGTTGTTACTTGGCGTGCTGAGAGCGTGGAGCGTAGGTCGGAAGATGTGAGATGTGGGTACCAATAGGAGAGTAGACTGCGCAGGTGGAGGACGGAGGGCGTGGGGCGCGCGGATGGGTGCAGGTATGTTGCGTCGAGCCAGGATATGTGGTGGCGGACTAAAGACATGGATTCGTAGGTTCCGTGGAAACGGAGTGTTAATGAAGGCGCTGGGCTGGTGGGTTTAGGCACCTTTTCGGAGGAGAAGGAGGGGGTTTTGCGGTGGTGGTTCTTCGAGGTGTGTTTGTTGCGACGGTCGCGGAGGGCGCCGTGGGAGGCCAAGGTGGAGATTTTGTATAGCTTCGGCGCGCATTCGTCGCACGTACACGGAAGGTCTGCTTCTTGGACGTGGGCTTGGAGTTCGGTGAGGGATTTCGGCGGCGTGGTCGATATGGGAGCGTAGTCATCGGTGTGGGATATCGTTGGGTTGCGGCCTAAGATGCGGTCTTCGATGAAGGACAGTTTTGGGTCCAGGGCGAAGAGCGGTTCGAGGAATGGAAGCAGATTGTGCCATCTTGACGCGCCGTGGCACGTTTTCCCTTCTTCTAGCTGGTCGCCGAGACGTCGGGCGTCGTTCTGTTTCCTCTGATGTTTTTCCCCATCGCCAAGAATGAACTTCGCGATGCGCCGGATGGGATGGAGTCGTCTTCTCTTCTTTTCCGACTTCTTCGTCTTCTTTGCAAGATTACTTGCATCGTGCGTTTCCAGAACTGGCGGATTCCCCATGGGGTAGACGTAATATTAATGAGCTAATGTACAGGGCTATAAATTCGACATGATTGAAGGAAAAGAAAAGAGTAACCCAAATCCGAGATTCGGCCCATGGGAAAGACGTGACAGCCGTTTTGGGGACATGGTGCCCTAACCGAACAGTGAGGCGGTAAGGGTAGTAAGATTGAAGGATTCGGATGCACAGCAGGGGTGCTATCTGTCGCGATTGCGAGGCATGCTGCGCACAGACGGTTAGGGTCGTCTGAGGATCGGGACGAGGGTTCGTTGTGGCAGGTGATGCCGATACGATGCCAGGCAGGTTTGGGGAATCGGAATCCAAGACATAACGGACACTTGTTCTGCGAGTACAGGTGTGTCGAGGCTATGTTTGGGGCCGCAGCTTATCGCCGGTACGCGCGTTTCGTGAATGAGAACGGGCATCTCGGAAATCCTGCCCTGGGTTGACGGAAGTTGCACAAAGACAACGGTCCGATGTTGGAACGGGGGGTGTGGCTCATTTCTTGCACGCCACGTGGCGCATTGTGGAGTGTGCATTTTCGACCGGGGGGAGACTCCAGTAAATCGTGTCTTAGGCGGATAGTGTGCGAGACCTTCACCAACTACCAACGTACACACCCAAAGTCCCTCGCAATAAGACTTTAAGTTCGAGCGCGAAGTCCACAAGACTTCAACCTCCTCCCCTCCTCCTCCCCTCCGCCTCCCCTAGGTGTGGCTGTTCGTTTCTCGCACGCCACGTGGCGCAGTGTGGAGTGTGCATGCATGACAGACGTTATGTTATCAGGGTCTTTTCTAGGTTCCGCTTCCGCTTATCCGACCCCTGTTCTGTGAAACGTTGCGCACGTACACCCGGTCGTGCGTCAACTCTTTCTTCGAGTCAGCCGAATGACGCTTCTTCAAGGTTATATCCGGTTTCTTCTGCGTCGTCTTGTGGTGTCAGAGTCTCTTTTATTGTTGTTGCTGTCGTCAGGCGGCTGCGTTCCCAGGTTGTGGCACCGATCGTTGTTGCGCGGGCGGGGCTGGCGATGACGCATGTTGTGTTCTGCTGTGCAGCGGCCTTGAGATCGAGGTGTACTTCCGCGCCGGTAGGCCGGTCATTCTGGCTCCGAACGAGATCTAATCACCCGACACATCTTGACCGTTTTAGGGTGAAGTAGGTAAGGCTTCTTGAATGCTATGCGTCCAAGAACAGTATCAGCGAGGTTGAACTCGTCCCAATCCAAACGCCCTCTTGACTTTATGCCAAGTTTCTCTTCATCGTAAATGAGGCTGATGCATCGATCCAATTCCATGCGTATCCCCAACAAATTGGAGCTGACATGCTCTAACTCTAGGGCTAATTGCTGCCAGGCCGCGCCATGACTGACCCTGCTGTGGCAGTTTTCACAGATATGTCTGCAGAAGAAAGCGTGGCAGAGCTCGTGCAGGAGCGTACCAAGGCGACCTTGCCTTCGTTTGTCAAAGACTTTTGGAAAAACACAGTGGTTCAGTGGTTCGGTGACGTTAGGATCTAGTTCGATCAGGCAGCCGTAGCTTTTTTGTATTGTCACCCCAAGAATATTCCATTTGTTTTTGTCGTGATCGTCTACCCAGTCAAACTGGACTTGGAATGAGGGTTGAGGAGGAACAAGTTCCGCGTCGAAGAATGTCTCCGATAAGTCGTTCAAGAGGCCTGTCATCTCCTCTTCAGATAGAGTCTTTCGCAGGTCTTTCGCGTTGAGACGCTCCTTCCAGTTGCTGATCAAGTCATTGAGACGACGTACCCTGGCTGCCATCTCTTCATTGGGTTTTCCAAAGTGTGTGCTGTGAAGCCAACGAATGTGCTGTTCTACTAGTAGGGTGGGTTCCGTGCAACCAGACGTGCAAGGAGGCTCGGGAGCAATCGGTTCTTCAGGCGCAGGGGGTTTGCCAGATCGTGTCTTGAACCACATCTTGCTGAATTTGGAAGGAGGCATCGTGTTTGGCTTCTGGCTCTTGTGAGAATATAATGTTAAGATGTAAGAATGCGAGAATGGAGAATGTCTTCATCCTTTCTTTGCAATTTTGTATTATTCTTCAGTATTTGGGCTCAAGTGGAATGGGTCCCATCGCGGGTAAATCTGGTCGCTTTGCATCGATACCAAATACACAGGCTTTGTACCTCGTGCATGCTGAGTATTCGCAATCATAGCGTGTGGTTTGGTGGGAGTCAGTCCTCACAACCAAGGATCGCTGACTTTGGTACCGATTTCCTGATGAGTTTTCGCATCCTAGGATGGTTGCACAAGTTGCAAACGAAATCGTGGCCCACTGAAGCCTAGCAGGAGCAAATTGATTGTCAGCAAAATCTCTGCGGGATGGTCGAACCGAAAATGTGTTATAGTTGCCATTTGGGATCTTGCGAGTGCCCAACTGTATACGCTACGATGCGCGCATGATCACTTGTACCACTACATTACATCCAAAGAGAATATCATCGGGCTTGCGTGAAAAAGACGATGGTCGCAAATCTACACGCGCATACCGTCCTCCGCTTCGATCGATAAGACCTCGCATAGTCAGGCAGGAGTCCATTCGAAGACGAGGCCGGATATGCGCATAGTGCTTCGTTGCTCATAGCTAAAGCTAGATAGGTGAAGGCTCCACCATCTCACACGTAGAGTGAACAGCAGGAAACAGCGCATGGACTATCGCTCCGTCATGTCGTCGCTTCGAGACGGTGATGTAGCGACATGGAATACTAAGGACACCGTTAAAGGAGCAGCCCCATGCATCAGTACATACAGCCCTGACGAATACCCAGGATACCGACATCCAGAGGCAGTCCCAGAGATACGACGCTTAATTACGATGTCGCTTGACCGCGACAACGCAAGACTGTATCTGTTAGCGAAAGCAAATCAGATCCTTTATATATGCGGGTCGGTGGGATGAAGGAGCTGAGTACTGGGTTTCGTCAAGTCTCTGTGGACAGAACGCAAGGTGAGTGCGGTCGGCATGCCCGACGTACATTACGCGCGAGCATAGTATGCAATGAGACTTGGCGATGGGGTCAGACGGTGCGGTGTGAATTCTGAGTACGTCCAGCCAAAGGAGTAGTATCTTCAGCCCCACCCGACTAGCCGTCGCGGGGTGTCCGACAGAGCTGATGAACATGCGATGACATTCCCCATTGGCGCGTCTGTGATGCACCTCTACGCATGCGTCTGAGCAAATCGATGCCGCAAGTATACAGACCCCACGTCTTTGGCCTCACAAGGCACCAGAGCCGTACCTGTAGGCCAGTTGTGATGAGATTATTCAGCCCCCAGCTACCGTGTGCATCGGTGACGCCGACTCGATGCAGTGAGGTTTGAGGAGATAGCAGTTGTAAAATGATTCCTGTCGATCCTCGGGGACATTACTGTGTTCCTCATTGCGACAGCAGTTGAGCAGGCGTCCGTCATTCGTAAGTAGTTTGAGGCCGCTGCAGCTGGTCGAGACAGCTGTTTGGTGGTTTCGCGAAGTAGGCGTTCGAGATCGACATGCTCATTTGCGACCCTGACTAGATAAGACGATGTCGAGCTCAGTAAGTGTGAGTAGTGAGTCGGGTTGACTTCAGCTCGGGCAGCGCGATTTGCCGTCGTCTTCAGTGTGATAGTGCGATAGCGATAGCGCGATAGAAACGAAAAAGGTCGCGAAGTATAGTAAGACAGAACTCTAGATCCGGTGTCTATGATTCGCTGCATTGAGCGACGCAGGGACTGATGCTAACGGGGAAGGCGGAGTGGATCCAAGATTCAGGAGCAGAGGGAGATTGGAGGTTACAGCTCAAACAGGTAGGCTCATTCCGGTGAAGGCCTAAAACGAGTTCCGCTGTCGGGTTGTTAGTCCAACGTTGACGAATCACAGACGTGTCGCCCCAGACCTTCGGGTACCTCAAACTGTGGCTTCATGCAAAGTCAGCCACGTCTGACGGGAGAGCACCCTGATCCCCAATGGAACTATCAGGGGTCGCGGTCAGCATCCGGGGCGGATCCACAGGGTGGCGAAAGCCATCCATGGTCGAAGGACCGAAATTAAAGAAAACTTCACATGTAACGTCGGAGCGGATGCTACCCAAGGCTTGTTAGCGTAGTCGACTCGACGGTTCGGAATATTGGATATAGGAAATAAGAAAAGGGAGGTTTGGATAGGAGAGAACAAGAGAAAAAGCCGCCGCGAGTTGCTAGGGGGGACGATGGGACGTGGCATCTCGCGGCGCGTGGTTTCACCAAACGTGTGGATGACCCAGTGTTCAAACTTCAGAGTTGCGTGCGTGGGATTTTGAAGGGTCATGTGTGATGTGCCGGGAGTTCCCTACAGCTTCAGCTGCTAAGCAGTGCCGATCCGTGTGATGGGGAGCGCCAGCGGCGATAGTGAGCAGCTCTAGCGACACTGGGCGTGGGAATAAGGATAGCTCGCACTGCAGCTTGACACTGGCGGTTTCCGGGACATGGTTGAGATCCACCGTCTTGAACCGGCTTCTGAGGAGCTTCTGCCTCTCCTTCTGGATCGAGGACTAGACGCAGCAGACTGCGCACTCGTTGGCTTTGCTAGAAAGCTCCGCAGCCAGTCGATGGGCGCCGATCGCTTCTCCAGATTCCGCATTGTCGGCATCGACGAATGAGAGGTGCCGCGGGCTTTTGGGCTGTGAGGGAGTCCTTGCAGGCTTCCAGAAGGCAGCCCTTGATCCTCGCGTCCAGCTGCCCTCACTCAGCCCTGACTGCTGCCGTCATGTAGTAAGCCGGGAGTGACGATGAAAGTGCGGCAGTTTGGGGGCGTATGACCGCCGCCGTCAATTTGCAGCAAATGCCATAGTGGCCGCATCGACATGTTGCGCGCGATAGGAGAGGAGTATGGCCAGGGAATAGAGATGAAGCATTGGGAGCTAGGCCGGGATTGCAATCCTACTCGAGTGGAGCGGTTGAGGAATGAGGAGTGCAGCGCCAACGGCAAGTGCCCAGTG